AATATGAATTCAAGTATGTAATTCTACCTTAGGTCAGTATTATTTTATAGTTTTTCTGATTGCACATTTTAATAATATATAACATATATATATTTTTATTATAATATTTAATAGAATTAAAAAACATTAGAAGATATACTTCTTTGGAGTAACAAAAGAAAGAAAAGTACTCACAAATATTATAATACAGCAATAGGATTCAGTTTCCAATTAAAATCCGGATAATAAAGAATGATCTGTAATATAAATTGAAGAGATTTATATATAAAATTATTAGATTTTTAACACACAAGTTATATTGAATTAATAAATATATACTTTAACAAAGATACTTACACAAGAAAAATTAACCTCAAATACTAAAAAAACCTTATTAAAATTTTTTAAGTTCTTGTATTAAAGTTTTTTACACAAGTTTTGTCACAGATCAATTTTTCACTGCACAACGTGATTAACAATTAATTAATAATAATACATATATATCTGTATATATAAAAATAATTATTAACAATTAATAAAATATATATAAAAACTATATATAACACATACTATGTTCCTTAACAACAGACTGATTCGCGCATGCGCATTATGTTTCTATCACGTTCCCTCTCGGGGTCTCCTACGTATGCGCGCGCAGCTCTCAATTTTATCCTCTAATAAACGCGCGAAAAGAAATATAAATTCAAAAAGAAAATAGAAAAGAACATATTATATTATAATATATTCAGAGATAGATATGTAGATATGTATATATATATAGAAATAAAAACTAACATGACGTAACTTTTCTTTTTTCTTTCATTTCCGCTATATTTCATTATTTTATCATTATCCTTGACTTTTATCCATTTTATTATCTCGCATTTAAAATAACACCTAAGTTATTTTCCAACGTTATATTTACACATGTGCATAAGTCTACAAATACGTTTTGTTGGAATAACATGCTTTATGAATAAACGATGAGATAATTAAAAGCTCGAAGAAGAAGTAGAAGAAGAAGAAGAAGAAGAAGATCGTTATTCGATAAATATTTTTCACGAAATAAAACGAAAAATGTATATAATTGGAAAATTTATGATCGCAATAACTCTATTCGTGACCGATGTAATTTGAACATCATTTTTTTTGTTCTTACCTTCTATCTCTCTCATTCTCGGATATCTTATCTGTGAGATTTTATAGTTTTCCGTCGCACGCGAGTCTTACGTTCCGTTTGTTCTCTTCCTTTCCTTTTACGAACTACCGAACAAAACTGCCACTTTGTCGAACTACCTAGCAACTTCCGTGCATTATCCGGTGCTTGATCTTACCGAGTATAAAGTTATAGTACCGAGATTCGAGGTAGAGAATTTCTCTCTTCTCGGTGACGATTACGATTATCAGGATGATGATGACGATCAAAAAGAAAGAGAGGATGAAAAAGAAAAAGAAAAAAAAGCAAGAAGAATAAGAAGAAGAAGAAATAGAACGGCGGATGAAGTTGTTTTCTCTTGCGAAACTTAACGAATCCTTATCGTCGACGTCATCATCATCATCATCATCATTATCATCATCGCCACTATTGAGAAGGCCTTAATCATCGTAAAAAAAAAAAAAAGGGTTGAATTATCCTTCGCACGCTCGCTGCGAAGAAAAGATATTGTTGCTTCTTCTTCTTCTTCTTCCTCTTCTAAAATAGCAAGTTCTTCGAATAGACGTTTAGCAAAAGGCAATAGGTCTCTCTGTTGGTTGGTTGGTTGGCAGCACGTCTTGCGAGTTCGCCCTTTAATCCAAGCTAATAACACAGAGGAAGACGAGACGTTGTCGGTAAGAAAACGAACTCGAAGGATATACCAAGTGGGATTATAATTCTTGTACCGGCGTGGGTATATTGCGAGAAAGGGAAGTCAAGGGCTTGGTGAGGTCGTTGTACCATAAAACACATAAGAATCGAGAAAGAAAAAAAACAAGATAGATAAAGAGAAATAAAGAGAGAGAGAGAGAGAGAAAGATACTACGAACATAATCATATTTCTTAGTTTACCTCCCCCGTTTCTCAACGACTACACTTCCCGGTTTAAAACTCGACTCTTCTTCTTCTTACATCGTAGATCGTTCTCGAATGTTAACGATCCAACCTGCTAATTACTGTTATAGATTTATCGATATCGTTTGAACACTGATCGATCGATACTAAACTTAGATCGTTATCAATTGAGAACGAAGAAAAATATAGTATGCCTTCAAGTATGTCAATCTTCTTCTTCTTCTTCTTCTTAGATTCTATTTTCTCACGGTATGTTTACTCGGGCAACTTCCTCTTGTAAATTCCAACGGTGATCTAGTGATTTATAGGATCGACCAAACGAGCTGGAAAAATGATCCACTAGGTGGTAGTAGTTGGTTGGTTGGCTGGTTGGTTGGTTGATGGTTGCTGACCAACGAGTGCCCTCAAAGGAAAGAGAGATCCAAGATGTGAATATATATATATATATATACTTTTCTATGTATATAGAAGAGTACGCCTTTCCAACAGGAAGCTCCAGACCGATTTACGTTCCTTCATTGTTTATGAATCCCTCGGTTTAAACGAGAACCACCTGGCCACGTTTGCCTTTCTCTTCTTCTTCTTAGTTTTCTTCTTTTACTTCTTCTTCTGTTCGTCGTCTAAGCAACGAGAGGAACGTTCGTTCCTTGTCTCGTTCCCTAGATCTCATTATTTATGAATCCGCACAAACCGAGAGTGCTACCGTCTAACGCCATGATCGAGTTCATCGAGTTCATCGGGGTTCCCCTTGACCTGAGTATCTGAGTAAATAAACTCACAACCTTATATATATATATATATAGAATAATATATATAAAATCTTCCTAAATAAAATTCTCTTCCTACTTTTTAATATTTTTTTCTTACATAACACAAAAATTTTTCAATCTAATATTAATACAATATCAAATCTAATTCGAATGGAAAAGAAAATATAGAAATAAAGTACCCAGTGAGGGGGAGTAGAAAATAAAAATAAAAAAATAAAAGAAATTAAGAAAAAAAAGTCCCTATTTTCTTTCTTCTCTCATCGAAACGATTCACGATTCAACGATATTTCCTTTATCGATCTTCAGTTATAGACTAGGCTATTGGACAAGACGATTTCTCAAGAAACCCTGAACGTTTCTTGGTTGGTTGGTCATAGGAAGTTAACTTATTTCATAGCCCTTTTTCCCTATCTTCGAGTACCTAAGGATGTTCACGTTGACTATATTTATGCGTGCGCGTGTTTTAAACATAAGAAACTTCGAGATAAATAGTAAGTATTTATCTTCTTCTATTTATTCTTCTTATTTTTATTCACCAACAACCCGCGCATGTTCAATTCAACCCCCCCCCACGCAAAATTCCACCCACAAACAAACCGATCCATTACGATAAACCCTAACACGTTGGTTATCCTGATTAGAATCAGACGTTTATTTGAGAAATAATCTAAGGAAACTATCCAAACCCCCTACTCACCCTTCTAACCATCACATTACCGGTTAATACTCTATGGAAAATCGTGCGAACGTGATACAAAGCCAATTAATGACACTAACGATCATTAAGTTAAGGATCATTTTCGTTATCCTTTCTCTTCCCTCTTTTATTTTTTCTTTTTATTTTTATTTCAACAACGCAACTAATTAAAATAAATACCCTATAGTGATTGTATAATATATAAAGAGTACGAAGTGATTTTCTCAAAGAGGAAAACACAAGTTTTCCATAAAATTGAAATTAGTTACGGAAGGAAATCATCGAAGTATAAAATCACGATCGCATATTCCCCCTCACCCCAGCCACCTCCTCCTCCTCCTCATCCTCCTCATCCTCCTTCTTCTAACCAATGGACTTTAGATGATCATTCTTGTCCCTAAAGGGATTTCCAATAACTAACAGAATACTATATATCTACTAGGATACGATTCTCTTTAGTTTAAACATGTTGGATGGAATATAAAGCACGTTACCATCTTAGGAACATACCATTCGAAAAGGGAAACCATTAATCTGGTTACCCATGACGTTAGAGGGAGCATAAATCTGCATGTTCCAGTAGCTGGCCCAAGTTAAGAAGAATAAGAATAAGAAGAAGAAGAAGAAGTATACAGTATCCCTGTAACTTGGCTCAACAACAACATGATCACGATCAGGATCATATACTAACTGTATTTATCTCGATCAATGGCAATAGCCGTAAGGAAAATGACCCAACTCTTATGGGAAGATGGCCTTGAAAAGGGTGTGATACCGGAAGAAAATTATAGATACTATTTTTAAATATTTTTTCTTTTTTTTTTTTTAATCAACCAACCAATCAACCTAATTGCTTCTTGCTGAAGAATACTAATTTTGATATGCATCAAAGAAATTGGTAATAATATTTATGATCGAATCTTGCAGTTCATTAAGCACACCCTGTGAAGGTTTAGTTTAGATCTTGAATTATGTTAGGATTCTCGTGTTCAACGGGTCTAAGTAAAGTATCGTTTTACGGCGTTACATGGGTTTCCCCGTAAACGGATAAACGCTTCGAAGATTTTACGATCTATCGTCATGTAGATCAGTCAAAAAAAATAAAGATAACTCTTCCATTTTTTCAGATAATAATTTTTAATTTATTTTATTTATAACAGTATTATATTTTTATATTATCTTTATATATCTTTCAATATTTATTCTGGTTATGTATCAATGGGTAATTTTCGTCAATGTTTGAATAAACAAATAAACAAATAAACTAATTATTATATCAGAGTTGCAATAATATAATTATGTATATATTATGGGATTATTATATGAAATATAAATAATATTATAATC